CTTCATAGCTCAGATTATTTCTCAATATCGCTTTAAAATATTTGATAATAAATGAGAAGGTATAGAATAATTTAAGCATTCATATGGTCATTACTTTATGAGGGGTATTGGTTAATAAGTTTTAGAGAGGTTCATGAAAAACTATTTTATTGAAATTTAATACTGTAATAGCCATGAAGAATTTTATGTAGATGGGATTCAGCAAAAACTAAAAGGTATTTTATTAGTGATTGTTTTACATTTCTGAATTAATATTAATTAAAGTTTCATTAATAATTATTTTATTTATATATAAATAAATAATAAATAAAACGTATAAATTGTCTTTAACACTCATTTCGATCAATCCCGCCTATATAATTATTGAATAATTGACACTCGTTTTGCAAGCTTCGTAGATCGTGATTAACGCTTACTTCAATCAAACCCGCCTATATAATTATTTGAATAATTGATAAATATTCGTTTTGCAAGCTTCGTAGATCTTGATTAACGTTTACTTCGACCAAACCCGCCTATATAATTATTGAGTAATTGATAAACATTCGTTTTGCAAGCTTCGTAGATCTTGATTAACTTCGATCAATCCCGCCTATATAATTATTTGAATAATTGATAAACATTCGTTTTGCAAGCTTCATAGATCTTGACTTACACTTACTTCAATCAAACCCGCCTATATAATTATTGAGTAATTGATAAACATTCGTTTTGCAAACTTCGTAGATCTTGATTAACTTCGATCAATCCCGCCTATAATAATAAACGTTCATTTTGGAAATTTGATTTACAGATAGATCTTGACGACCAAGCCCGTCTATATAATTATTTGAATAATTGATTAAATATATTTTACAAACAGCTTCATAGATCTTGACTTTAACACTTACTTCGATACAAGCTATTCATAATTGATGAAGCATTCATTTGGAAACTTAATAATTGATAACCGTTCATCGGTATATTTTACAACATGCTTTGGAAGCTTGTATGTATGATACATCTTGTATTTAACAGTCTACTTTTTCTATTTTTTTTTAGACTACACAATAAAAATTTAAATTTATCCAGTTGTAAACTGGTTGATATCCCATATTTTGCACAACTTGAAAAAAGTTGGTATATAAGTCATAGAATGGGTTTAATAATAACTAATCGTCCGGATAAAAGTCATGCAATGATGAAGTACCCATTATGGACACTCTGTGTCTGGCTCCCTTAGGTGTATGCCTCACTTTGGGCCAGCTGTAAAGTCCCGCGTGACGAAGGGTGGAACTCACATGGATGGCTCATGTTAGGTGTATTGATTGACCCTTCGTGACATAACCTCTCTTTTTGTTAATTTTTATTATTTATTTTATTTGGTTGGAAGAAACATTTAAAAATTAAAAAAAAAGATAAAACTCGTTAATTGATTTGATTGGTTACATTTTTGTAATGTACGAAGGTCCATCAATCAATAATAATAATATTATAATTAGTAGCAACGACGACAACGAATCATCATTTTTTGAGGATGATAATAAAGATTAAGATCGAAGTAAATGTTAAGGACAAGATCTATGAACAAAATGTACTAACGAACGTTTTATTAATTATTCAATGGTTTGTACAAGCGTTAAGGACAATATCTGAACAAAATATACTAACGAACGTTTTATCAATTATTCAATAGTTTGTACAAGCATTAAGGACAAGATCTATGAACAAAATATACTAACGAACGTTTTATCAATTATTCAATGGTTTGTACAAGCATTAAGGACAATATCTATGAAAAAATATTCTAACGAACGTTTTATCAATTATTCAATAGTTTTGTAGAACTCCCTTTTTTCGATCCAATTTTCCATTATTTTGTTCTAATTTTTTGAGATTATTATAAATAGTTCGCATGGGGATCTTTGAATTTCCTTAACTGAGCGCATTCCGATGTTCCAACAATGCAAAATGGTCTCACGTTGCGTATTCAAACTTGATTTAGTCATTTCGTGATCAAATTCAAAAAAAAAAGCTAAAAATGAACTAGAAAACGGCCAAAAACTTTTTAAAAGAAGTTAAAAAATAAAAGTTATTGTTTGTATCAAAACGTAAAAAAAACCACAAAACAAAATTAGATCAAATTAGGTAAGATATACGTGTTCGAACAACTTCAATTTTTTGCCATTTTTTTCATGATACACTGTAAGTTGCCAAATATTAATATTCACAGCCGCAGAATAGAAACTCGAATAACTTTTTTAATTGATTGCGTACAATATGGCAAAAAATCATTGTTAATAATAGTTTTTAAAAAGGAGATAACTTCCCATTTCAAATCATTATAAAAAGCCTCGGTTTAAACCCATATTCTTTTCATCAAAAAATCCAAAAAATTTATATTATAATCATTATTGTTCTAATGTATTTATTAAAATCATATTTCTGTTATTGAATTAATATAAACATAAAAATATCTTTATTCCGACGCACTTTCAAATGAAGAATTTCATCTTAATCCTTGTTCTTGTGTCTTTCTTCGGATCCTTCGGATCTTTTGCTGCTAAACCTGCACCAGCTCGTGTAACTGCTATTCTAAGTATTCAGGATGTAACTTGTCCAGTTGAATGTACAGGTGGTACATGTTGTACGGATATTAACTATTATTGCTGTAACGATGATCTTGGAGGGTGTTGTGAAATTGGAACAGAGTGTACTACTGATAGCTACACATGCACATGATAGTAGGGAGAGAATATTTATTTGAAACCAAGTAAAATATTGCTTTGGATTTTTCAACAATATGTATAAAATTTTTGTTATAAATAATTCAATATTTAGTATACGAAAAATAATCATGTAGTTAGTTTATATTTTATTCGCTTATTTTTCTATTATGTATAACTGTAATAATAAAAACATTGATATTAACTATTTGTTATTATTAATTCAAAATCAAATCGTGTTTTATTATTAATGGAGTGATGTGTTTGGATACGAAATTCAAATTGACTACGTACGTGAATTCTAGCCCGTATTATCAAGGATAGATTATACAAGAAAGGTTGTGTTGCATTATTCATTGTAAAATATTTGGTGGGACAAAACACATAATAATGGTATAAAAAATTTTTTCAGATAATGTATTAGTATGGTTTTTCTGTGCATTTTGTATGGAATATGCACGGAATTATACATGAAAAGAGCACTTTTCCGTACATATTTGTCCTGAAAATGCACAGAAAATGCATATGAAAATGTACGGAATGTAATTTTCTGAAAATTCCATACATATTCCATGCATTTTTCCATGTACTTTTCATACATTTTCAGGGCATTTTCAGGGCAAATATGTACGGAAAAGCGCTCTTTTAATGTATAATTCTGTACGTATTCCATATGGAATATGTGGAAAATGTATGGAAAATCCATACCTTTTCTGACTAAATTTTTTATAGGGTTTATGAACAAAATATTCTAACGATTTTTTATCGATTATTCAATAGTTTGTACAAGCGTTAAGGACAAGATCTATGAAACTTGCAAAATATTCTAATAAACATTTTATCAATTATTCAATATTTTGTGCAGGAGTTATCGAAGTAAACTTTAAGGACAAGATTTATGAAGCTTGCAAAATATTCTAACGAATGTTTTATAAATTATTCAATAGTTTGTATAAGCGTTAAGGTCAAGATTTATGAAGCTTGCAAAATATTCTAACGAATTTTTTATCAATTATTCAATAGTTTGTATAAACGTTTTTATGAAGCTTGCAAAGCAAGTTTTACAAAAGTGAACATTTTATCAATCATTCAATAATTATATTTATTATTTATTGATGTATATAACTTTCTCTTTTATTTTAACTTATATTTAATAACGTCACTATGATAAATAATTAAATGAGAAATAAAAACACCTTTTGATTAATCATTATTGTTACTTGTTTATTATTCTAATCATTATTTATGTAAAGAAAAAATTTAATTGATGATCCGTCTATGAATGAGAGAAATGTTGATCAATTTATTATAAAAATACGGGGGAAATTTTATATTAA